AAAAAAAGATATATTAGAATTGGAAAAAGTACAGAGAAAGGAAACAAAAATGATTAGGTGTATGGAACAGCTTTCATAAGAGGAGAGATTAAAAAACTGGAACTGTTCAGTTTAGAAAAGAGATGACTGAGGGAGGATATGATAAAGGTTTATAAAATCATGAATGGTATAAACAAAGTGCATAGGGAAGTGTTATTTACCCTTTCATGTAACACAAGAACGAGGGGTCACCCAATGAAATTAATAGGCAGCAGATTAAAAACAAACAAGAGGAAGTATTTCTTCACACAATGCAAAGTCAACCTGTGGAACTTGTTGCCAAGGGATGTTCTGAAGGCCAAAAGTATAACTGGGTTCAAAAAAGAATAGACCTATCCTCTATGAACTCATCTAACAATAGCTATTAGCCAAGATGGAAAGGGACACAACCCCATGCTCCAGTCAGACTGCTAGACTGCCTCTGACTGCCAGAAACTGGGACTGGACAACAGGAGATGGATCATTCAAAGTGCCCTGTTCTGTTCATTCCCCTGAAGCATCTGGCACCGGCCACTGTCAGAGACAGGATAGTGAGCTAGAAGGACCATTGGTCTGACTCAATATTGCCATTCTTATGTTCTTACATGCGTTTATTATTATTTTTCTACAGCAGAAGCTGTGTTTTTGCTTTCAGATACACTTGTTTTTGGTATTGCTGTGCTCTTCAATGCATGGTCTCTGCCCAGACCACACAGTCTAAATTCAACATGACGCAACAAGGGAGGGTATCTGACAAAGGAGGGAAGAGGAAGAAGGTGATAAAGACTATTTTGGTAGTAGTATTTGGATGAAGTGAAGGAGTGGACATGAATGATATAAAATACTTAGGAACAGTTGCTGAGGAGGCACTTCCATCCTTATTAGAGGGAAAATACCAAATTAAAAACCTTGGGTCTAATTTTAAACACTTGAAAGCTTAAGATAGGCATCGAGTTCTACACCTGGGTACTCATATCAGTGCATAAGCACCCAAATGTTGATCTGAACCCCCAGAAGTGAAATGGGCATCCTGACACAGCCCAGTTTTCAAATAGGCATCTGAAAACTTGCAGCATGTCATACCTGGTGTTAGGGTTTGAGATAAAAAACAGCCCACAGTCTGAGTACGTTGTTGGAGCTATGCAGGTTACATTTGGGGTGTTTCCTCACACAATTATGCTAAAAATATTTTGAGCATCTTTTTTTTGTTTTCCACAAACAATAAAACTTCATAGGAGAGAGAAATTGCACCCGAATTCTTGGTATTGTCTTTCAGTCGTGGGTAACCTCCAAGCAACGGTCACATATAGCAACCTTCTCACATCACTTTGGACACATGCAGATTGCTCAGTTCACTTTAGGACTGTACCCCAATTTCGAGTAACAGATATCTGAGTTTTGACAGATGTTTAACACTTAACTGGAAATTAATATTTCAGGTACAACAAATCCAAGGCAATAAGTGACTCCAGGTCCTGTACAGACAGAGGGTCATGATGTGAGGAAGTGGGACAGAATCACTTTGTGTCTTTCAATATTTGGAGGATGGTGAAAAAATTGGCAATGAAACATGTAAGAAAATGAGCCTGACAAATCTGTTCTTTCCTGAGTTTCCTTGTGCTCTGTGTGCCAAGTCTTGCTTTCACAAGCAGGACCCACTTCCTATAAATACAATCCATAAAGCTGGCAGTTGAAAATAAACTCTGCCTTCAATCCCACAAAAAATCTGGGGTCATTCCCTCTTATTTGAAATAGCATGGCTGGCACAGAACTCCCCATTTTTCTCACATTTCCAACAGACCAAACTCAAAGTAAAGATTTGCTATTTCAGAACATTTTGGAGCTGAAATGTAAACATTACCATGCAGGGAAGCAGGACTTGAATGTTATTTTTAAAACATCTGTAGGATGGTAGAAAGAAATTTGTCCTGGCAGCAGAGAACACCTCATGGGAACAAGGAATAACAGCAAGGAATGAGTGATTACTAGCAGGACTATGACAACTATAAATTGGAAAGATAGGATTGGTACTGAACACAAAGCCATCTCCGTTGTCCTTTGTGAAACTGTTAAGAATTCTGGTAGTAGCTTAGGGACCATTTCAGCAGTGATTTGATTAAATCAGAAATAAAACAAGGCTGGGTTGATCTACATTAACAGGTCATTTAAAAGCTGCATATTATTTGGTCCACGTTGAAAGTTTCCAGTAAAGTACTTTCAAAACACATCAAAATTATTTCACATTTGTTAATCACTAACAGTGTACTTGGCATGTATAAACACGTGCTGTAGAGAAAAGCATGCTTCCTGCTTCAGTATGCTTATTTTAAACCCCCAGTCCTGCAAGAAGTTGAACACCAGCATTCCCTCTAATTTTTTACGTCCATGTGCGGAATGAATTTTGATATGTACACTAATATGGAGGTGATGTGTGACACATCATATTACTTCATATTACTGCACGTAACAAAATTCATGGGGGGAGATGAGGGGTTCGGAGTGTGGGAGGGGGTTCAGGGCTGGGGCAGAGGGTTGGGGTGCGGGCTGAGGGAGGGGCTCCTCTCCCCAGCAGCTCCAGCGGGCCTGGACCAGGCTGGAGTAGGGGCGTCTCTCCCCACCTGCCTGCTTGGCCCTTGAGAGCAGGCTGGGCAGCTTACAGGGAACATAGTTGAACCACCTCAATTCCTGTTGAATTTATGATTGGATCACCAAGTATACAATATATTTCAAACATAACTCAGAAGGGGATGGCCAGGTATTATTCCAGACACAATGGAAAGAATGGCTGAAGGCAAGAAGATAGAAGTATAAGAAGAATTCAAAGGGAGTGAAAATAAAGCAATACAAGTGTTGCTTGGTTCCTACTGACTATTAAAGCAGAATTTTGCAAGAATAAGGAATCGTTGATTAGCATGATTTCCTGTTGTCTCACAGATGAATACCTTGAAAATAAATTCAACATCTCACGTCTGTGTTAGCCAGTCTCCTACGATATATCGATATATATATATATATATATATATATTTATAAAAATAAGGATATACGAAGTAGCAAGACACTAGAGAGTCATTGAGAGATATAATGGGTATATTATTCAATTAACTAGTTTTACCTAATGAATGGCATTCCTGTTTGTGCAAAATCATATTATTTACTATTACTAACTTTATACAAACAGGAATAATATTCAGTTGCTAAAATTTGAAAATATATGTACCTCCAGGCAGGTAACATAGCACAGGGGTTATAAGAAGGCACTAAGCACTAGAAGACCAGAGTTGCTATATGAGCTCTAGCAATCCACTTAACAACTTTGTGCCTCAGTTTCCCCATCTACAAAACGGAGAAAATACTTATCCACTTGTGTAAAGCACTTTAAGAGCTTGAGGTGAAACTATGAAAGTGCAAGGTATTATCATATCTGACCCAGTGTCCCCTAAGTGTATATGATTCTTTAAAAAGTTATTTTTTCCTTTGAAAAAGTCCATAAAAAAAACCTGAAAATGAATACAAATGGCTTTGTGATCTCCTGAGGAAAAAGTCAAACGTAACTAATCACTAAGGCACATAAATCTGAAAGATAAAATGGCTCTCAACTGTCAGACACTTCTTAACATTTAGAACTGAGCCCAGTTAATTATGGAAACTATTCATCATCTGTTAGTAGACAGGGATACCTCCTGGGTTAAGAAACTATAGTCTTCTAACACCGTCATCATCAATCAGTTCATTTGACAGAAGGAAAAGCAGAGTCTGGAAAGTTGAGTTTAGGTTTGTGGTTTCCATGACTGACTTTTTTGAGGAGATTTGTTGCATTTATTTTTAAGAAATGTTTATGTTGATTTTTTAGTTACTATTGTTTTCAGGTTTTGATATTTCTAATAGGCCTCAATCCTGCAAGGAGCTTGCTGTGGTGGGATCACTGAGGTCAACTGGTGCTCCCAGAAAACACTCAGAACCTTTCAGAATTAGCTCCATAATTGTATTCTTTAGAAAAAATGTAATTCCTTGAGTGCTCACATTGTACATCCAAAAGAGACAGTCCACCTGATTCACCACTGCGTTACTCCCGTTTTACTTCACTGAAATTATTAGAATTACATTGGCATAAAACTAGAGTAACTCCGTGATGAATCAGGCCCAGTACATTTTGATTTGAAGTAAAAAAGAGGGAGTCACAACAACCCCTGAACTCAGTACAAAATCACAAGAGAACATTGAGATAATTCAGCAGGGTTTTACCATTCACAAAGAAAAATCACTTTGTTGAAACAGAGACAAGACTAACCCCAGTCTTTTTTCTTTAACTTAAGAGCACGCTGATTAAAGTGGCACTTAGACTGTAAACATTTTATCTTCTATTTTCTAGAGAAGCTCCTAGCATCTTTGTGGATGACAAAATAATAAAACAATGATTTAATATTACTTGTAAGTGACAAAATCCCAGCCATTCAGTTTTAATCATCAAACATAAGACAAAATAAAAGGTTAAGAAGACACTTGATCATGTTCTATAATTATCTACAGAGAAAGAAGATATCAGATACTTCAGAGCTCTTTTATCTAGCAGATAAAGGCATAACAATATCCAAAGGCTGAAAGTTGAGGTCAGTAAAATTCAGACTGGAAAAGAGAGGTAAATTTTTATAGCAAGCGTAATTCAGCATTGGAACAGATTACCAAGTGCTGTAGTAAATGTTCCTTACTTGGGAATTTTTAAAACAAGAATGGATGTCTTTCTAAATGTATAGCTTTATCTTTCCCAGCATTATAATATTTCCTTGCAGTTTGCGAAACCAAAATGAAATGATCCTGTACTAAACCAATTCTTTATTACAAATCCTAGAAAACATTTTAATCACATCAGTAAAACAAACAAAATATGTTACTGAAGTTACAAATAATCTATGTATTTCACCTAAATACTATCTGGAAAAAAATACAAGAATGCTATCCTATTTAAAGAGAAAATAGAACCTACCTACTGTGATGTTCCCTGTTTCAGTCTGAAGGGTTGTGTCACCTATAAGAGAAAAACAGAGTCGATGTTTTAATGATAAGAGAAACTTATTTTATACAGTCCATTCAGAGACTGCACAGATTATCTGCATATCTGAGAGTCCCTGCTTCAATGACCATAATACAACTGATAGTCTACATATTTTTATTTGGGTTGCACATAAAAATTAACAAAATAAATCAATACAAAATATATTACTTTATATTCACAGAGTTTCATTCTATGAAAATTCTTAACAAATGTGGGAATAAAGTTTAAAAATATGTAGATATGGGAAACAATCTAAACTTTATGTGTAAAACTTTATGAACATATAAATGAACAAAAAAAGCCAAAAGCATTTCATGGGTATCAACAATACTTTTTTATTATTATTTTGTGCCAGAGTTGTTTTTTAGTGTGCAGCTAACTACATCAGCCATTTGGTTGACTAAACTGGTTTAATTGTATGTGTAACAAAAATGGCATGCAGATAGCTAACCAAAAAAAGTTTCCATCTTCCAACAGGGATATATTTTCCAAGCTGAGCGTGGGGGATTACAATAATATTTTTTTCCAGGAGGGGTTTTCCTGTTTCATTCTGCAAGGCTGCTTCTTAAAAAATTCCTGTGGAGTCATTGCACATTACCATGCTATTCCTTTCAAACCTCTCTTCATGTCAGACTCCAATGTCAATCTGTGCAAGTAATCACATTAGCATCTGCAGCCCTGTTTTGAAAGAATTCAATGAAATGAGGATCTGACAAAGTCATAAATCTGCTAAAGGAATCAGTTTATTGTAAACTGCCTTATGTATTTTATGCTTGCTCAAAAATATTGATAAATTATTTACTACTTTCCACGATGTTGATATGTATCAGTTTTTAATTTGTTTAGCAAAACATGATTCTGTTCAGCTGTACTACTGTATCATATTAATTTCTTATGGACACCAGAGCAATCTATTTGACAAAGAAAGGGCTGGTGTTGCAAAGCGTAGAGCAGTGGTTCTTAACCTGTGGTCCACAAACCCCTGGGGATCCTCAGACTATGTCTAAGATTTCCAAAGAGGTCTGCACTTTCATTAGAAATTTTTTAGGGGTCCACAAATGAAAAAAGGTTGAGAACCAGTGGCTTGGCGGGTCCCACTAGACATACCAAACATCCTCAATTTTCATGGACTTTATTGGGATTTGATAGTGCTAAGCACCTCACACAATCTGGCCCCAAGAGATTAAAGAGAATAAGTGTAGAATAGTGCACGAGATCTGGAGCATGTAAAATCATCTCTTGTTGTACTTGTCAATTTCTGATCAGACAGTACCACATCATATTATACGCAGATACCTTCAGACATACTAAATCCATGTACTGTACTCTTCCTGTTCAATTACAGTGCTTGCAGAGTTTGCAAGGTCAGTGCCTAAGGCTTACGATCTACCTAATTAAAAAAAATGCAATTAATAGTCTCTCAATAGCTGGTAGAAGGTATTATACACATACATCATATATATGGAGCAACATTCACACACAAAATACATTCAAAATGCAAAGTAGAACTGCACAGGAAAGTAGTATACTGGAAAAAACAGTTTAAAAATAGTTTCCATGATTCGGAAGTTGGCAACAATATGATGAAAGAAATTTACAATTTTCAAGCTCCTCAGAACAAGACTGAAAATTTTCACATCAGAGGTCAAACTGAGCAATTTTTGAAGACAACAGGCATTACTAAGGACGGAATCAGGCCGTTTTTATATGTTCTATTGACTTGAAAGAGGTTTCCCCTCCCTTGCCCTTTCCAGCCTCAGATATACAACCTATATATAGGTCTCCTCTTTTCCTCCAATTTGTTATTAATACTTATTTCAACACAACAAAAAGAGACATAGGGCCAGATTCAGACCTGTTGTAATCAGGTGACTCAAACAGAACTTCAGCCACTTACATCAGCTTTGAAATTAGCCCCTAGTTTATAAATTATCAAAGAGATCCCTGAAGAACATTAAACATTTGGAGATCATTAACTCAGCCAATTTGACAAGTTGTTTGGAAGGCAGAGACGAATTTTTTCTGTGCTGTATTGTGAAATGTCCATAGAGTATATATAAAACTAACTTTAAAGTCATGCAATTATTCCATTAATACCAATAGTTAGTTAAACTTACAATTTTTCAGCTAACTAATCCTTCAGCCTAAATATATTAGGGGTGGAACAGAGGAGAGCTGACTATATTTAAATATTGGTTGGTTTATTCTGCTCTACTAGATGTTATGTTGGGGTGAAGTACTATAAATACTGCACTCTAGCAGCTTTAATAGATCACTGATGGTGGTGGCTTACTGTGTCGCTTTCTGTTTTTTCTGAACATTAATTAGAACCTTTTCCTGCTTTCCTAAGTTTTGTTTATCTATAGATATTGTAAGTCTCAGCATCAAGGTCAGTTTGAGGCCAAACTCAAGATGTGGCTTCTGGGATGTGAACAGTGTCATCATATTTCTCTTGTATTGTATTGCTTTCCCTGTGAATTCCTGACTTAGGCCCATAAGGGGACAAGGCATGCATGGGAAGGGATAGAGTTCATATCCTTGCACTTCTCCTTAGCTTTGGTTTTCTATTGTGAAGTTGATGCTATTCAGACCTATGCCTATGAAGGAGCTAACACCAGACTGCTAAAATACGTAGAATTTTTAAATGAAGTCATAATCTGCCATTAAAAATGTAAAAGACTCATTTTTGTGCAGGGACCATGTTTTCATGTGCTTTTACAGTGCCAAGCTCAAGGAATAACAAGCCTTTCTACATGTCATAGCTTCTTTATAATATCGAGGTGATAAGTTAATGATAGCATAAGAGAGTTCCCATTTTAACCTTTCTCCACGCTGCACATAGCCAAGATCTTTTAAATCAGAAGTTCATTTCAAAAGATTATGTGACAGAGGAGGAAAAAGGTCTGAGTGTATTGGTTAATCACAGAATCACGCCAACATGATGCAGATGTGAAAAAGGCTAATGCAGTTCTAGGCTGGCACAGGCGAGGTATTTCCAATCGAGACAGGAAATATCTGTTACCATTATACAAGGCACTGGTGAGACTTCATCTGGAATACTGTGTGCAATTCTGGTCTCCCATGTTTAAGAAAGATAAATTCAAACTGGAACAGGTGTAGAGAAGGGCTACTAAGATGATCCGAGGAATGGAAAACCTACCTTATGAGAGGAGACTCAAAGAGCTTGGCTTGTTTAGCCTAACCAAAAGAAGGCTGAGGGGAGATATAATTGCTCTCTATAAATATATCAGAGGGATAAATACCGGAGAGGGAGAGGAATTATTTAAGCTCAGTACCAATGTGGACACAAGAACAAATAGATATAAACTAGATAGATATCAACAAACGTAGGCCTGAAATTAGACAAAGGTTTCTAACCATCAGAGAAGTGAAGTTTTGGAACAGTCTTATAAGGGGAGCAGTGGAGGCAAAAAACTTAACTGGCTTTAAGACTGAGCTTGATAATTTTATGGAGGGGATGGTAAGATGACACTGCCTACAATGGCATGTAGCTGATTTATGACTGCTAACAGCAAATATCTCCACTACCCAGTGATGGGACATTAGATGGGGAGGGCTCTGAGTTACTACAGAGAATTCTTTCCTAGGTGTCTGGCTAGTGGGTCTTGCCCACATGCTCAGGGTCTAACTTACTGCCATGTTTGGGGTTGGGAAGGAATTTTCCTCTGGGTCAGATTGCACAGACCCTGGAGTGCGGGGCTTTCGCCTTCCTCTGCAGCATGGGGCACAGGTGACTTGCAGGTTTAGACTAGTGTAAATGGTGGCTCCTCTGTAACTTGAAGTCTTTAAATCATGTAATTCAGTCAGAGGTTAGGGACTATTACAGGAAGTTTCTGTGGCCTGCAAATTGCAGAAGGTCAAACTAGATCAGGGGCTGGCAACCTTTCAGAAGTGGTGTGCCGAGTCTTCATTTATTCACTTTAATTTAAGGTTCACATGCCGGTAATACATTTTAATATTTTTTAGAAGATCTCTCTCCCTATAAAAGTCTATATATTATATAACTAAACTATTGTTGTATGTAAAATAAACAAGGTTTTCAAAATGTTTAAGAAGCTTCACTGAAAATTAAATTAAAATGTTGATCTTATGCGGCCAGCCCGCTCAGCCCGCTGCTGGTCTGGGGTTCCGTTCACTAGGCCAGCAGAAGGCTGAGTGGGGCCTGCGGCCGGGACTCCGGCTGGCAAGGGGCCAGCAGCCAGAACCCCAGACTGGCAGTGGGCTGTGCGGGGCCGGCAGCCGGGACCCCAGACCGGCAGTGGGCTGAGTGGCTCAGCCCGCTGCCACTCAGGGGTTCCATCTGCCGGCTCCTGCCAGCTGGGATCCCGGCTGCTGGACCCACTCAGCCCGCTGCCGGTCTGGGGTCCTGGCCCTGCCCACATACATTGGGTACCTACCTTCTCCCTGGTTCTAGCCCCTTCTCTTCCTCTCTGTCTGCACTGAACTGGGGGTGGGAGTGCACTAAGCAGAGGGCTGGGGGTGAAGGAGCAGGCTGGGGGTTGGGGTGTAGGGTCTGGCCAGGAGCTAAAATGAGGGAAGGGGCTCAGGGTTGGGGCAGGAGGTTTGGGTGTGGAGTGCTTACCTGGGGAGCTCCCATTTGGTAGGAGGGGTGCAGGTGGGAATGTGGAGTGGAGGTGCAGGAGCTCCCATTTAGTGCTCAGGGTGGGGGTGGTGATGTGGGGGTGCATGGAGTGTGGGGGGGCTGGGTATGTAGGGGGGTACAAGAGTCAGGGCTGGGGTCGTGGGGGGGTGAAGGAGTCAAGCAGAGTGCTGGATGTGTGTGAGAGGGGTACAGGGCTCAGGGCAGAGGCCTGGGGGGCGTGCAGGGCTCGGAGCAGAGGGCTGGGTGTGTGTGTGTGGGGGGGTCAGGGCAGAGGGCTGAGGGTGTGGGCTGGGGTCGTGGGGTGCTCACTGTAGGGGGCTGGAGGGGGTATGCCCCGCTTCCACCCCGC